TCTCTGTCCCTCTGCCCTCAGTCTGACCTCTTTCAGGTCTTTTCTGTCCTCTGATTGGTCATGCTTTCCTTCTCTCTTCTCTGTCATTGGCCGGCTAGAGGGTTGCAATGCACTGATCCGCTTGGGTTTCATCTCGGACCCGCTCCTGGAGCTGGGGTATGGGGCCAGGTGTGGGGGTTACAGAGCGAAGAGAAGGAGGCAGAGGATGCTGGCTGGCTCCTGGCCAGCTCATGTCCTACAAGCGCCACGCTTCAGAGAGAGAGAAGAGTGCGTCTAGATCCATGTGATGTGTTAAGTCACACGGTCCAGGAGGTGTAGGGAGGGCAAAGGTTTTTCAGTGTTAAAGTGTAATAGTGGCAAAGTGTGCCGGGGCCGTGCTGGCAGTGATGGAAGCAGCAAGCTGGCACAGCACCTCTTGGCAAATGTGGTGTCATTCAGGGTGATCTCACTGAGTGTCAGTTTCCTCAGCTGTAAGAGCTGGCGGTGACAGGTGCCAGGCGGGTTACTGTGCACAGGAACAAGCTTGGATTTACTGTGCCACCACCCAGCAAGACATTCTGTACAGACTGTGGTTAAGGCCCTTTTTGGTGTGTGTGGTGCTATGGATCGCACCCAGGCCTTGCGCATGCTGGACAAACACTCCACCTGAGCTCTTCTTCCAGTCCCTGTGGACTGATATTAATGCAGAAAGATACAGTATTGCTGGGCGTGGGGTGCTATAATCTCGGTGCTCTGCGAGGCTAAGGCAGGAGGACTGTAACTTTTTGCACAGTTTGGGTAACTTGGCAACTTAGTGAGATCTCATTTAGAAAAAAAATAGCCTCAGTATTAGTTTTCTGCTGCTGATACTACAAAGATTAGGTGAGTTATAAGGAAGGCTTTGTCCTGGCTCACAGCTTCCGCTGCCGTCCTGGTGGTGGCTTTGCTGGCAGAGTCTTTAGGAGACACAAGACATCCTCACGGGGCAAGAGACAGCGCGTGCGTGGGTTTGGCCCCTCGTTCTTCTTATGAAGTCACCTGTGTTGGTCATGACGCTCCCCTCTGATGACAGCCGGGCACTTCTGAGTCTGCTAACCGAGGTCCTTTCCACCCTTTGCACCCTCCCAGGGGGGATGAAGCGTGGCATTGGTTTTAGAGGAGTGCAAAGCAGATTCAGTCATGGCAGACACAAAAGCAGTGTCCACACTCAGAGAAACGTGAGGGGGCCTAGCGGGTTATTTAGGCTGCCCGTGCCCTGCGTTTCCCCTCTAGCATGTTCTTGTCTACATCACGGTGGCTCAGTGCTCCGGCCCTGGCAGGTGGCTGGGGACCTGCAGGCCCACGGGCTGTGTGCATCTGCTCTGCCACACATTACCCTGCTTGGAACTGGCAGGCTGCTGAAGGAAGAGTCTGGCTTGTACTGTGTGGAAGGGGGGCCCCCACTCTCAGTTCATAGGCTGTGCACCCTCCCTCCAGCGCAGCACCTCGTGCGCCTCTGCTAGAATGGAGCGCACTGTCTTTTACGTATTTCAGGAGTTTCAGTTTCTCCCAGTTAATGCACCTGACGGTGCAATGGCAGAAATTATTTTTTTTTAAAAAAAATTTGGTTAAATAGTGCTGTCTTTCAGAGTCAGTTGTTTGAGATGTAATTTCTCCAGTTCATTATGTCAAAACCTCCATTTGGAGCACGCATGAGGGCCTTTGCTAATGGCTCTGGGTACTTGTGAGGGCTCCCCAGAGAAGCAGAACCGATGGTGTGTGTGTGGAGACAGGGAGGGAGGGAAATATATTATTGGAAGGTAGTCTGTGACACTGTGAACATTACAAAGCTGACAGGTTCACATTCTGTGCTCCGCAGACTGGAGACCAAAAGGAGGCCATGGCAAAGGTTCCAGCCTAAGTGTGGCTTGAGATCCAGGCGGAGCCCAGTCAGTCCCAGTGGAGGGGTTTTGTTCCTCGAGGGAGGGCCAGCCTTTTGTTCTGTTGTCACGTGGTGTAATGAGGTACCACACTGGGAGGACAGTCAGCTTGGCCGAGTCTGCTGCTTCAGATGTTAGCGCCATCCAGAAACGCTGTCAATGGCACACTCCGGGTAATATGTGGTCTCCTTTCTGGGCACCCCAGAAGCCTGTTAAGCTCATACATAATGTTCACTGTCACCTTTGGGTGTCATCTTGGAGATTCGGGATTATTTTTCTGATACCTGGGGAAGGGTTACAAACAGCCACGACCCCTCAGTCACTGTCTTGGACATGGTCACCTTGAGGGTCCACAGGACAGGGACTCTCTCAAGGTCTCAGGTTCGTGGACATGCCCTTTTCCTCTTCTTCTGCTTTTCTCTTTGGTACTGGGGATTGAACTCACGACCTTGTGCTTGCCAGGCAGCACTTTCACCCCTGAGCTAAATCCCTGGCCCAACTCACCCTTTTCTAAAACATCTCAGCTGTTGCTTCAGCTGGGGCATATGGCTCTGGGGACAGAGCAGGGGCCTCACCCCTCTGCAGAGCCAATTGCTTCCTCTAGATAGCTGGGAGTCACCCAGGAGGCGATTTAGGGCTGTATTCCATGGAAAGGTGTGGTAACACATGGGTTTGTGTAGACTGGGGGTTTGAGGATGCTTGATTTTTCTTGTGGCTTTGTTGTGGACTGCTTGTGACATGCAGAATCTTTCTGGGTTTGTTTCCCCCATCCAGAATTGGGGATGGAGTTGCTCAGAGACTGTAAACCATTTAGGGAAGGATGCAAAGGTTTTTTTTTTCCCCCCTGGGAACAGAGGTGGAGAGAATGTGGGGCCAAGTGTGTTTGTGATGTTCCGCTTGTAAAACAAACCATTCTAGGTCCCTGGTGAGGGGACTGGCTGTGTCCCTCTGGTTTAGCCTCTGCACACTGTCCTGGCCTTTGCTGTATTCCTCATTCTGCCCTTGGGATACAGATGGACTCTCACCTGTGCCTGGTGTGTACTGTGATGTTATGGGCTGTACCTAGATGTCCCCCAGAGCCTCATGCACTCACAGATGGGGGTTTCGAAGGTGGCTGGATCAGGGTGTGATAATGGTTCAGGGTGTGATGCTGGGGTTAAGGGCTGGGTAAGTGCAGGCCCACACTGAGGCTGGTAGCCTGAGTGGAAGAGAAGGGAGGCACAGGCTTGCTGGAGCCTTTGCTCACTACGTTGGCTGCTTGTTGCCTTCCCACCTCTCTGCCGTGGACATCCTTCCCCTGTGATGCCCCCTGCCACACCGCCCTGCTTTGGAACCAGCTGACTACAGACTGAACCCTTTACAAACTGTGAACTGAAATAAAACTTTCTTCCTTTACCTTTGGGTGTTGGGTATTTTGTATCAGCCACAAGAAAAGTGGCTAAGACTCATGACGACAACAGGAAAGAGAGACTGTTTGGCAGTGAGGCTTGAGACCATCAGATTTGATGACTGGATTCTCCCTCTTTCCCAAATTTCCCTCTCCTTTTTAAATTATTTTTTCTCAAACAACTCCAAGGAGTCAGTGCTGTAGGTTGTGTTATACCAAAGCTATGGTACTAAGGTTTGTTATGTAAACACTGTGGTGCTTCGGTAAGTCTTAGCTTTACTAACTCAAGTTAGGTCCAACAAGAGCAAGTTGGTGTTGTTGAAAAATTGTTTTTAGAAAATCTGAAAGTGAAGTTCTGTTTTCATTCTTCTTACAAATTACTGAAGAGTCTGTCTGTGCCGAGGGCGAGGGCTGAGGGCTGTTATGTGGTCTCCGTGGGAACAGTCTGTGGTCTGTGGGAAGAAGACGAGCATGATTATGTCCTGCTTGGGGTCTTTTGGGTTGACCGGAGTCTCAGAACATCAGTATTCTTAAAAAGGAGGACAGCTGAGGGTACGAAGCAACTGGGAAGAGGTGCACAGTAGTGGAGGAATAAATGCAAGGAGCACTGGTGGCCACAACAAGAGTATTGTTCCCAGCTGGCATCGTAAACTCTCCAGCCGTGTCCAGTGGGTACCGCAGCCTTCACGCAGTGAGTCTCACGCCAGTAGCTTGAGTCAGACCTTTCCCTGTAGCCCACGATGACTCTGCCTTCCCAAAGCTAACAGTGCAGTGATATAACTAACTGTCCTCATAAATCCTGGAAAGGGAAACCATATTGACGCATTTTAAGAGTCCTTGTTATATGGGAGAGGATAGAGCATATTTGGCTCTATCCTCACTATAGGGTCTCACTATGCAGTTCAGACTCACTTTGTAGCTCAGGCTGGTCTTGAACTCCCAACGATCCTCCTGCTTCAGCCTCTCAAGTGTTGGGATTACCAGCATGCAGCAACATGCCCAGCTTTAACCTCTGTTATTTACTGTCATTGCTAACAGTGACTCCCAGAGAGCCTTTTACAGGCAGGTATGCTCAGGAGTGTATCATCCTGCGCATTCTCCCTTATCTTACTGACGAGAAACTGAAGGTCACAGTGATTCACTGACCTCCTGGGGTCACACAAGTGGTCATAGCCAAGCTCCGACTCAGACCCCTGGAGCCATGCTGGATCCTGTGCTCAGTGAGTCCTTTGATCACCATGGATTTTCTTTGCATGCATTTTACATTTTAAAATTGTTGCATTTAGGGCTGGGGATTTAGCTCAGCGGCATAAGTGCTTCTCTTGCAGGCTCCTGGTCCTGAGTTCGATCCTGGTACAAAAAAAAAAAAAGGTCACATTCAGCTGGGAGTGCAGCTTCGTGGTAAAATACTTGCCTGGCATGAAGGAGGCCCCAGGTTCAATCCCCCGGGGAGCAAACAAAAGCAAAAACAAAATATCCCATTAGGTAGTAGAAATCTTGATTTCCAAGTTGGTGCTAGCACAGGTATCTGTGCTGTGTCAGTGAGGACCACATAGAGTAGCAGGCTCAGTAACTGACTCACCGAGGTCTCATCCAGGGTTCAGCGGGTCTTCAGTGGGTCTGCTCGGGGCAGCCTGAGCGGGGGGATCCTGGGAGGGAGGAACCCGCTAGTGCTGCTGTTGTTGGTCTCTCACTGATGTGCTTCCCCTCTTCAGGTCAGGGAAGAGGTTAAAGAAGACCCGCAAGTATGACATTATCACCACTCCAGCCGAGCGCGTGGAAATGGCCCCTCTAAATGAAGAGGATGACGAGGATGAAGACTCCACAGTGTTCGACATCAAGTACAGGTGCGGGTTGGGGACAGAGGCTTCCTCCTGGCTCCCGGAGGAGAGGGCACCCTTGGCCTTTGACAGCACTGTGAGCCCCAACCTGGCCCAGGTGGGCTTGTTCTCTGGTTAAGTGTCAGGCCTTTGGGTGTTCTGCTTCGGAGGGACTGATCTGCTACCTCCCCGAGACACGTGACACCCAGACGCTCAGCCGAGGATGGCTACTGCCTGCTCTTCCCAAGTGAGAACACTAAGTTGGCTTTAAGGGAGGGACAAGAAGAGAGCTGAACTGCAGACACGGAGCTGGCCGTGCACTGGCCTGGGGTGCAGCCTGAGCAGCCCAAGGGCTGCACACTCTGCTGGGGACAGAAACTTCCTCAGCACATCAGGGGTGTCTGTGGGGCCCATCCTGTGTGGATGGAATTTACTGATGAGCTCTGCAGACAGGTGTTTCCTAACGGTGGTCTGCGGGGAAGTCACAATGACCGCGACATCCGAACAGCAGACGGGCCCTTGGAGATGCTCATGGGGTGCACTTGGAGTGTGAGAATCACCGTGGTGGAGCAGAGTGACGCAGTGTGGAGGCGAAGGCTTGCAGGCCCAGGGCAGAAGAGGGATTGGGTTCTGGCCCGAGCTTCCTCCTGTTGCCTGGCTTCTCTGTACCCGGGACTGCTGCCTTCCACCCCTGGCATTGGTTCTTCATAATCTTGGCTGCTGTCAGCCCTTGGTCCTTCTGCATAAACCAGTAGCTAGATTCAGCAACACAGAGTCTTGGATTTTGATAGAAACTGCATTGACCTTGTAGGTCAGTATGTGGAGAATTACCCCTTTATGCTCACATTCCCAGTCCTTGAATATGGAATGACCTTCCATGTATTTAGGTATTTTATTTTATTTTTTAAGTGCCAGGGATTGAACCCAGGAACTCCACTCTGAGCTACTACATCCCCAGCCCTTTTTTATTTCTTGAGACAGAGTCTTGCTAAGTTGCTAAATTGCCAAGTTACCAGGCTAGGTTTGAACTTTAGATCTTTCTGCCTCAGCTTTCCAGAGGGCTGGGGTTACAGGTGTGTACCACCACACTCAGATTATTTAAGCGTTTTATAAACTGTCTTTAAGTGCTTTTAAAACTTGAATCATAAAATTAAAATAAATTTTTGTTAGATGTATTCCTAGATGTTCTGATTCAAACATATGTATACACACCGATATGACCTTAAAAATACTTAGTGTATTTATACTCATATGTTAAAAAATGGCTATATTATTATGTTTACATACAAATCAGTTTTGGGAACAGTTTGCTGTTCATGAAGCACACTCATATAGGAGCATGTTTTATTTTGGTTTGGTTTGGGGGGGCATTTTTTTGTCTGGTGTGATGCAGGTGGGGTTCACATTGACACTGCTGTCAGATTGAGAAATTCCAACAATGGGTCTGGGTCTTCAAATAATAGATTGAGTTCTGGTTCTAGGCTGACAATTAGCCCTGCGTTGGCGTTGCTGCTGCCTGTGAAACTCACTACCAATTTAACCATTACACTGACCACTTGCTAGGTGTTGAAGTCACAGAAAATGCTTTTGCTTTTTAGAAGGGCAGCTTTACTGTCTGCCTGCTGTAAGAGCAGAAGTCAGCTCTGGCAGAAACCAGGTCTTCAGGCCACTCCGGAGCATCTCCGAAGCCACGGTCCCGATAGGTGCTCACTGCTGGCTGTGCAGCAGTGGCCCAGAAACCTTCAGTGTTGGGTGCTTCTGGGCCAAGGACTCTCCTTGGCTCTCTCCAGCTGCTAGAGGCTCCCTGCCTCCACTCCAGGCTGACAGGCAGGACCTGGAGAATCCATTTCTCTTACAGATTTCAGGCCTTTGGCCACAGTGAGCCCCTCTGTCCCACGGGCTGTCTCCACACCTGGGTTTCTCTTCCTGAGGTTGTCAGATTCTGCTGTCACTTGGAGACAGCCTTGAAAACGGCTTCCTGTGCATCTGGGCGCAGTAGTACATGCGATAATCCTGGAAGCCCGGAGGCAGAGGCAGGATTGCTAGGCTGGGCAACGTAGTGATTTAGCAAGACCTTGTCTTAAGGGGGAAAAAAAAAAAAAAACAGGCCTGGGGATGTTAGCTCAGTGTGAAGGCCCTGGGTTAAAACCCTGGTACCATCCCTTCCCCCCAAAAAACAATGCCCCCCAAACCAAACCAAAATAAAACATGCTCCTATATAAGTTAGCATCACTTGATTTGTGACTTAATTTCTGATTTTTTAAAAAAGAAAATAAAAATTTTAAAACCTTGTTGTCCATGGCAGTTGGTTTTTAAAAAAAACCTAGCACCCTTGCTCAATCCTTACGAATCGTGGTGGTAGGAATATGGATCCTTTGGGGTTTCCTACATAGATACGCCATCGAGAGTGTGCGGGTCTGATCATTAGTCCGTAAATATTTTCTCTCTCTCCTCTTTAGGCTTTTTGTCCTCTTGATCTCTAAGTCAGTGTTAAATGGAGCAGTGGTAACAGGCGCCCGGTCTCAGTCTTGATTTTAAAGAATGTGCTTTCAATTTGCTGTAGGGCTTTTAATCCATTTTTTTTCCTCCAGGGAGTTTTCTCTTAGTCTTTGTGTGGTAATGTTAAATTTTATTCAGTGCTTTACATAAATGTTGAAAGGTCATATTTTTTTCTTTATTTTGTTAAGGTGGTGAATTTGTATTAATTAGTTTCTAATAGTAAACCAGGTTAGCATTTCTGAGATAAAAGAGAGCTCGGTCATAGTATGCTATTTTTTCCTTTTTTTATTTTAAAAAGAAAAAAATCCCCAATGATACAGAATTTCAAAACAAGATAATAAGAGATTAACAATGGTTAATATATTGCATATTGTTACCTTCGAAGTAGTTGCTCGGATTACAAGATATGGAAACTTGAACAACTTAACAAAATTGAACAACTTAAGCACAAATCATTGTCAGTGAACTAATAGAAATCAGTAGTATAATTATCTTAGCTACCATATGTATGTGATATATATTCTTTTTTTTTTTTTTTGTCTTTTTCGTTTTTTATCGGTACCAGGGATCGAACTCATGACTGCCTGCTTGCAAGGCAGGTGCTTATGCCGCTGAGCTAAATCCCCAGCCCCATGTGATATATATTCTTTATCCTTCCCTTCTTTTCTCCTTTCCCCCATCCCAGCTCTTTCCTTTTGAGCAGTTTCTTTCCCTTTCACAGTATCTATTATAGATTTTGGATTTTTGTTTACTTTCTCAGTTTTTTACACTGGGGAGACAATGCAATATTTATACATGTGAGTCTGATTTATTTCTTTTATGAGTATGGTCTCTAGTTGCATCCATTTACCTATAAAAGCCTTGAGTTTATTCTTTATAGCTCAGTAGTAGTCCTTTATATAAAAACATCTTTTTATTCATTCCTCAGCTGATGGGCGTTTGGACTGTTTTCAAGATTGAGCTATTAATTTTATTTAATTTATTTTTAAAATTTTTTTGCGGTATCGGGGATTGAACTCATGACCTCACACTTGCCAGGCAGGCGCTTATGCAAGATTTAGCTATTAAAGACTGTGCTGCTATAAACATGGGTGAACATGTATCACTGTGGTATGGTGTTTTTAATTACTCTGTGAAGATTCCCAGAAGGGGACTAGCTGAGCTGAATGGTACTTCTTGTCCTAATTTTTTAAGGTATCTCTGCTGTGATTTTCCACAGTGATGGTACCAGTGTACACTCCCACCAACAGTAGAGAAGGGCTCCTTTTTCCCTACAGTCTCACCAACATTTGTTATTGTTTGATTTCTTGATGATAAACATTTTTTTTGGAGTGAGACGGAATCTCAGTGTTGTTTTAATTTTCATTTCTCGAATGACCAATGATGTTGAACATTTTTCATGTATTTATTTGCGATTTGTATTTCTTCATCTGAGAAGTGTGCATTCATCTCAGATGCCCATTTTTGGATTGGGCTTTTGAATCTGAGGGACCTGAGTTTTTTTCCAGTTCTTTATACATTCTACGTAGAAGTCCTTTGTCTGAAGGATTTTGTTTTCACTGTGTTGGTGGTTTCTTTTGATGCACAAAAACTTTTTCATAAGATGAGATTCCAATTGTTGATTCTATGAAGTGCTTTCTGTGCAGGTTAGATTTTGTTCTGTACTCTCTGCCTTCCCCTGCATCTTCAAGATATCTACTTACTCTGTCTTCTAGTAGATTTAGTGTTTCTATTTTGATATTTAGATTTTTGATCCATTTTGAACTTAGTGCATGGTGATAGATATGGGTCTAGTTTTAGTCTTCGGCATGTGGAAAGCCAGTTTTTCCAGCACCATTTATTAAAGGGGCTATCTTTCTTCCAGTGAATATGTTTGGCTCCTTTGTCGAAAATAAGGTGGCTGAGTGTGTTTGTAGTTGTTTCTGCATCTTCTAATCTATTCCACTGATCCTCAGGTCTGTTTTTTTTGCCAGTACTATGCTGATCTTATCACAGTAGCTTTGTAGTATAATTTCAAATCAGGGATTGTGATGCCTCCTGCCTTGCCTTTGTTGTCCAGGATCGCTGTGGTGGATTGACAACTGGTGGTCAAATTGTAACACCCTGCTGAACTGAATCAGTGAGGTGCTGGGTGAGGACGGCCCACCTGAGGATTGTTGCCAATGGCATTAAAAAGGAGAACTGGAGAGGAAGAAGTAGTTGTTGGTTCTCCTGTTGCTGTTGGTTCTCCTGGAGAAGTTTGTTGAGTTTCTTTTCCAATACCAACTCGACTGTTACTGTCTGAGGAGCTTGTTGTTGCTGAGAATGGCTGTGGTTCACTTTTGCTCTGGTCCTTACTTTGAGCATGCTTTGTGGCTCTAGAAGGGAAGATGGTGTGGTGTTCAGTCTCCTGGAAAAGTTTGTCATTCTGGCTTCCTGATATGAACTTGGCTGTTCTTATTGTCGGAGGAGCTGGGGACCTCACTGTCACTGAGGATGGCTGTGATACTTTTAGGGGGAGCTCTGGTCCTTAGTTTGAGTGTCTCTTC